CAGAAATGAATCGGTTGTGGGACTTCTCCTCGAGCGTGGGGGAGATGTGAATGTTCAGGGTGGCCCGTATAGCAACGCACTACGAGCAGCGCGAAAGTTTGGTAATGAATCGATTGTGCAGTTTCTCCTCACACACGGGGCAGATCCCAATTCAGTGACTTCGGCGGATGACACAAGTAGCACAACCAGCTAGGGACTTTCAATTCTTCAGCTATTCGAATATTCTATTCCTACTGCCACCACAGATTCTTGCAGTTGCCCCTTTCATATGCCGTATTCGTTCACTCTTCCTCCTACTGGTATGTCGCGCAACCGCTGCGGGGGAGCCCAACTCCTGCCTCTGTGCGCCGTCTTCCCGCCAGTCTGCCGCCCCAAAACCGTACTCCATTCCGCACCCTAAACAAACAACTGCTCATTTCTTCAATCCCATCTATCCTGCTGCCACCGAATACCTTGGCAGCCTTCCACCGCTTTCTTCAAATTTCGAATTACCTCATGCCGTGTTCACTCGAATATTCACACCCGGATCTATGACCCCACCGGGCATCCGGCGTCTCGAAGCCCAATATCAGTCGATTCCCTTTATTCCGCACCCAGTCTAACACCTCAAACAAAGCCCCCCGTTCCACATTACAGAAGTTGTCCGTGTCGTTCATTAATACCTTCGGATTGACACTTGTTTGACCTAATCTCTTTATTATTCTTCTTCTTACTACCTGTCGAAAGTTGTGAGGTGCTTCTCGGCACCCCCCCATGATGGTCTAGTTGGTTTGTTCGCACACTCTTCGGGAGCGCCCTTGGGTTTCGGGCGCGATATGGGTTTGGACGCATAGGCTTCTGCCCGCGCAGTTTGGCTTTTCGGGAAAGGGCTTCGATCGCGGGAGTCTTTGGGGACGTGCACTGTTGGAAATTACGAGATGCTGCTCGGCATGCTCGCACCATCCCATACCCCCACTATGCCCACTACCCCCCGCCCCCCTTTTCCTTCCTTCCTTCCATTTGCCCGTTACTCGATCATTCGTTCGATCGTTCGCGCGTTCGTTCGCTCGCGGGACGGTTTGCCTGTTTGCACACTAGTTAGTTTTCTTTTTTCCTTTGGTTAGTTCTGTGGGAGCGCGCTCTGGTTTTTCGGAAAAGTGCTTCCGCGATGGGAGCATACGGATGATCGGAAGGAAGGCGCGAGAGGAAAGCGCCAACGGAAGAAGGGTGCTGGGTGAAGGAAAGGCGAAAGGCGAAAGGCTTGAGCGAAGCCCTGGAGTTTGTATTTCCTTTGTTAACAGTTTGTAAGACAGAAAGGAGAAGAGGGAGACATACCGAGAGCACAGAGGCTATGGGTGGAGGCTACAGGCAATGAATGTGTGTCTATTCTTTTGTTAGCATGGGGGTCTATCGGAGGAGAGGAGGAAGGCTGCAGGGAAAGTGGAAAGGCCGTTCGGAGGACGGAAAGGCGCGGAGGTATACGGGAGGCCATATGAAGGACTGGAGGCTATGGGCGACGAAGTTTGTATTTCCTTTGTTAGCTTGAGGGTTGCACGGGGAGGAGAGAACGTACCTTGGGGGGGGTGAGGACTTTGCCGGTTTGTTGTGCATGCTTGTCACTTTCGTGATATATACTCCCGTCCCTACCATTAGTTGAAGTTAGTTAGTTGAGTTGTGTGTGCGATAGAGTGGAGTGTGGATGCGAGTGTGTTGGAGAGGTGAAGATTTTTCAAGTTCCCCGCTCTTGAATTGTACGATCAGTTTGTGAGTAAGCACTTAGCGCGTCACGGTTTCACAGACTATCACTCGTTCGTTTCACAGCGGCCGGTGTTGCAATATGAACAGGAAGTAGTTTTAAAAGATCAGAATTGAGATAATTCATTCTACCTACAGCATCAACTAGAATAATAGGAAAGATATAGACCATAGACCGGCTATACAACCAACCAGTTCAGACAAGCTTCTACCACCGGGATTCCACAACAAGGAACAAAGGTATTCAAAGAAAGTATACAGGAGCAAAAGGAATAATAAAGGAATAACGAAGATGTCCGAACTAGTACCCGGATTGAGAATAAAAACACAAGCGACTGAAGTAGCATTTGGGAGGAGAAAGAAACCATATATCAACAGCCGGCGATCGCGAAATTTCGAAAATGCATCCGCAGGAAGGATAGCGGATGGTGGATTGGAAGGAAGGAATGAAGGCAAACAGTGAGGTCCAGGAGGGTAGGTGGTTTGGTAGCGAGGTTTATCTTTTCTTTGTTAGCTTTTCGTGTTTGCTCATGTGTGGGAGACCTACTTGGAGGGGGGGAGGTTAGGACTTTCTCGTCTTTTCGTGTCGTTGATATATACTCCTGTCATTACCGTTAGTTAGATAGACAGAGTGCGCGATAGTGAGAGTGAGGTTGCTGAAGTGACGAGTTTTTCTTCCCCCGCTGTGAGTTGTGAGATCGTTTCACGTGAGTGATCTTAGAGTTGTTTCGTTTCACGGTCCATCACTCCTTCGTTTAGTTTCATACCGCCGTTACCGCCGCCTTTCGTTCGTTCATTCATTTACCCATGCGTTCGTTCGTTCGTTCGTTCGCGATATCGTGAAAGTCCCTGCGGATCCGCCGTCGAATACTACCGGCCTTTGAGATCAAAACTGGATATATCTCCGATCCCACGGGGATATGTCCACACTTACCTTTAGTCTGTGAATCTATCAAGAAGACCCTGGTGGCGGGAGCAGGTTGATGAGAGTTTCTCCGGACATGCCGGGAAGGCCGGGAAGGCGTGGAAGGTCTAGAGGAGGAGGGAAGTGCCATGATGACATACCAATTTATTCACTAGTTGGGTCTGGTCTTGGGCTTTAGAGCTCCCTTTCCACTTTTTTATTTTCCTTCACCCACCCCTTTCCTTCCTTGTTCAAGCGGAATAAGGCCACCGTTACAGGTTCATAGAGGGCTGTTAATGAGATAGTTTCTTCTTTCCTCTTGGGGGATGCATCGTTTATGGCCTTGTTTTCTCTATTCTTCGCTTTTATTTTCATTTTTTCAGATCCAGCACTCTATGGGTATTGAAAATCACCGGCACTCCACCCGTAGCTGACAGCCCAAGCCACATCTATTCATTCCGGGAATTCCAGAAGCTTCCGGAGGTGGTCTTGTATTGATTTCCTATTTGTCAGGCTTATGAGTGTTCGATTTGTATGAGGGATGGAATGTTCTGGTGGGTTTTCGGTATCCCTGTACAATATAAGATGTTTAGCCGGAGCGGGGTTTGGAGCATGTGGTCAGAAGGAGGAATGAGATTGGTTGATTGAGGAGGAGTAAAGGGAACTTAAGAGAAGCTCGGAGAAGGAGCAAGAGGTGGGGGTTAGAAGGTAAGCAGCAGTATAAAGAGGGGATAGGATTGCGTGGAAGAAAAGGGATGTGGCAGATAGCAGCAACGAAAGCATTCGAGATATCAGTAACGACAAGAAATCAAAGCACCTCGCGCACAGCTCCCAGAAAGAGAACGATTCCATGAAAATTTACAAGAATAGGTACCTAACCACACATTAGTCACTAGAGCCTCCCGCCGGAGTATAATTGCACATGGAATTTTCCACCGCCCTACAAAGCTTTCTGTAAGTCAAATTTGGTAACAGGTATGAGTTGATTCCAAGCATCTATTACTGTCAGAGAGGCTTCCCTCTTCTTCGGTTTCCACCTGGGTTCGCCTTGATGGTAATGAAGGATTTGTGTTCAATTCGTGGACATTGTTGCAATTATGGGCCGGAGGAACCCCCACCACCATATCCATAAGGCTGAAAATCCAGAAGTGAGATTTAGCTTGGGGGGGTAGATGGCGGACTCGGGTGAGTGGGATATTCAAATTTGGGAAACCCCGGGAGTGAATGATGGAAGTCTTAGGCAGTTAGTTGCTCACCGTCGATACCATCCCCTGAAAATCAATCAGTGAACTGTACAAAATGGCAGTCTGCGCCGCTACGTTCTATCCACTATTGACCTCTCTTGCTTCGGTTGGGCCGGATCCAGGGGTATCAAACAGCAGACATCCGAACCCGCCCGACAAACACCCGAAACCCGCTGCTTTGTTCCCGGGGAGTTATTGCTATTGCGGTGGCGGCTGTTCTGCTCCGGGTGATCGGAAGGGGTATTTTCCGGTAGACGAGCGACGATGCACAGGGTGTAAATTAAGACGGTTTCAGTGAATGCGCCCAACGAAGCCTTTCCGAGCCAACAGGAATCATGTAAAATCTCGTGAAATTTTCGAACGTTTAGTGCAGGGATCGAAAATAAAACCACATTCCCCAGGTTCACGTAGTCTCAGGTTTCTCCCTCCGTCTATCCCGATCCATTTCCTTATCATACCAGCTAACCGCGGGCGCGTATTTCTCATCTGACTTGAACAAGAAAGCGAAACTGGAAATTAATAGGGTGAGAAGAGAGACAATTTTATGTGACATCACGTGACCAAAATACGAGCCTTAGTTTGCCAAGTGGCAGCACTATGATCACATGCTATAACTACCGCTAATCGCACCTGTTCCTCAGAACCTTAAAGTAACAACAACGGTTGGTCCTCGTACCGCCAAGGAGGCATCACTTTATATCTGCAACAAATCTCTAATGCCCGCCGTGCCCACCATGCCTGTCAAGCCCACCCCGCAAGCTAAAGCCTGTCCAACTCCCCCGAATAGCTTCCAGCCCACAGAGCCCGAAGTACCAAGCGAGGCCTATCCAACCCCCACCAACAGCTACGAGACAAGAGAGCCCAAGGGAGAAATTGTCATGGAGTATTATCTCACCGAAGGGTTAGAGGGGGTAGAACGGTATGAATATCGTGATATTCGCACGTTTAAAGAAGCGGTCGATTTGCAAGATGAGGCATTCCGGTTGGGTAAAGCTGACGAATCCGCCTCCCCATACCTAATTTTTTCCCCGGTCACCCACACCAACTTGCGAACATCGACAGTGTACGAAAACCCCATACAAAAAAGTCCGTGTTTTCTACTTTAATAATGAAGAAGTATTGATCGTCAAAAACATGTCGAGCCCGGTCCACGAACTCGCTACCAAGGTATTCGAACATATCGTCGTCAAGAAGATAGAGGATGGTGGGCAGGGGCATATGATTGTGCCAATGGGCAGCACCACCTATACAGGAACCTCTTGCGGGAAAGAGGCCGATGCGTCTTTCCGGCCACTCCGAGCCCGTCCCGGACACCACCAGTGGCCAACGGTCGTTCATGAGTGTGGTGTCTCCGAGACTGCACGCCGGTTGACGGTTGATGGTAAATGGTGGATAAACAACTCGGGTGGAGCCGTCAAGATAGTGTTGCTAGTTTTTGTCAATGAGAAAGCGAAAACAATCCGCATCGAGATGTGGCCAGTGTTCCCAACGGGCCAGGTAGGCCAGGCTGAGCTGAAGCCGGGCCCGGCCTGCCACAACTATGGGGGATTTAGCCCGGCCGGAGCCTGCAGGCTTTGAAAAGCCTGGGCCTGGCCTGGCCTGGCCGGGCCCAGCTATAGGCCGTATAGGCTAAGTACCTGCCACCTGATAGGCCGGCCCGGCCTATATGGCCTAGCCAAGCCGCGCCCAGCCTATGAATACGAGCCTACAACCCCCTCAGATCCTTGGTTTCTGCTCGGCTCATCTCCCATTCCACTAAACTAGTCCGAGTTACTCCCGTGAGAACTGTACGTAAGTTACATAGTCCCTACGCAAATTCCACCCATTGGTGTTAACGGAATAGAATGAGTATCAGTAAGATCACTAATATTATTAGGCACTGATCCTACGTGCGGGTAGTAATATGGATTTGCTCGTGGTTGATGAAAACCCCCGAGGTCTAATAGGACTCGGTCAACCATAGCGGGCACATTCACTGATGGATTCCTGCCAAAGAAACTGAATCGGAAGGACGGATCGTGAGATAGGACTGCGTTGGAGAATCTGGAGGTAGATTTCCTGGACTTCTTCGAGCTGGTTGTGGATCGGTAATCGCGTAGTTATCATACTTCAACTGACAAGTGAGGATATAGATAAAATAATAAACCACAATGAAAGTTGTAAGGAATCGAGCCACTCTTAAAACAATCAGCTCTAAAAATCCCACTTGCAAGCCTGTAGGCTCCTACCAGGCCTGATAGGCTTCGGCAGGCCGGTTGAATTCGGCCTATATCCGCCTAGGCTCATCGTCAGAGCGGCCTGCCTTGGCCCAGCCTACGGCCTATAGGCCGGCCTATCACTGGCCTAGCCCGTTGGGAACGCTGGATGTGTCAAAATGACACGGGAGAAAATCCGGAGCAAACTCGCGAACACGACGAAGCCCAAGTCACAGGGCCAACCCTAAAAAAGACGATCCGCATCACCCCTACGCCGGTCACCGGTTCCCCGCTGGTCTTAAAATTCCGAGATATATTTTTACGCAAGCGCAAAAGGTGCCGGGGAGAGAAGAATTATGCTATCACGATGGAAGATATAGAGAAATACTACCGTAAGATCTGGCCACTGGTACCAGATGTAAGCTCTGAAGCCGAATCCTGTAAGTTAGCCTTGTTGATCTCACCTGGATTTTACTGAAAGCTAATTCGAGCAGCCTCGGAAGAAGAAGGTGCATCGTCTAGCTCGTCGGATGGGTATGTCTTGGATTGACCTGAAAATATGGTCCTTAGGAATACTGGCCTGGTTGTCGCAAATCCTACATCTTTGTACTTTTTATTTTTTTTCCTGTATATTAGTGTTGTTCTTCACAATGGAATACTCCTCTCTCCACTAGCAGCAGCCAAGCACTACGATTGATTTGGGATCTCTCTCAGTTTTGGCTAACTTCAATCTCACAGACTCTCTTTATTCACCATCTCCTGTCCAACTTCAAAGCTCAATACCCTATTATTGCGAGTGGTCAACGCATTTTCCGACTCTAATATAGTTATCGATTCTGCGGAAGGATCTCCGATACCTCGCCTAATCATTAGTCCGTCGATAAGCTATTAGGTTTAGGGCTGCTAAAAGCAACCGGCTGACATACAGTTTAAGTCTCGTAACCAGGTCTCTGGGAATGTGGAATCGATATCGCTCTCGTCTCTCAATACAAAATATTTTCTCTGATTTCAGATATGCCATGGCTTCGTACTCATCCGTTACTGAAAGTCAAGCGCACCAAAAATACTCATTTTCCATGCCAAGAATCCCGATGCCATGATTGGAGACGCGACTTCAAACCAGCAACTTGAGTATATAGGATGTACTAGTACTCGAGTATATGGCCCCCCAAGGCTTGCTCCTGGATCATCTCAAACCCTGTACTATGACAAATGAGTGTAACCGCCTGTACCAACTGCCGGCACCGGGGATGGCAGTCTGGGCTTCTATGTGGAAGGGGTTCGGGGGTGGCGAGCATTCATTGGGATAGTGAGGCATCCGGTCCTGTGAGATCCGGGGTATCAAGTGGTGGTGGGGTGTGACGGTGCGGGGGACCGGATCCCCCTGTTACGTGGAAAGGAGGGCAAAGTGGCCGTGATGTTTGAGTGGACCTCTTGCCCTGGCTGGTCCATTCGGACATTCACTCGCAGAGTTAGGGACCCAGACAAAACATGCAAAAGGTATGATACACTGACCAGTAAACAGTCTTCAACAAAACGGCAACCTCCCCGGAGCTTAAAAAATAAAACATAAACGGGGCTGGTAATGAACCTAAGGGACCAAACACGGGGGCAGTTGTAGGATCCATAGTAACCCCAATCACTGCCGCTTCGTAGATCCCAAGGTCATCTAGGGAAAGAGGGGTGTTTGTGGGTATAGCAGGGAACGTGCTTGGGTAAAGGGCCATCCCCGGACGTGTCTCAGAAACAGTCTATCCCCCTAATGGCTGATGCAGTGGCGGTGGATATACTTGTACCGATGGCTGCACGAGATAACGGAATGAAATGGAAGCGAAGAGTCTTGAGTTGGATTCGGAATTCAGAGCGGTCCACCCGCCATCCTCGTGATATGAGTAGATGGGCTATGAGCTATTTTCGGCCCTTACTCTATACCACCACGCTTAGTGGGCTCTGTAAGTGGCAATACGCGCGACATTAGTCGTGACTGCTCAAGCCTGTGCTTGCCGGAAGGCTACCGGTGATCGCGGCAACAATGGACGGCGGGTAGTAGCATTTGCGATACCGGCAGGCGAACAGTCGGGGGCGGAGGTGAGGGGAAAGCAGATAACCGAAGTGACCGATAGCATGCTTAGTTACCTGCATAGAGTACCGTAAGGTAATTGCGGGACATACTCCATACCTCTGGGGCCGAGCGCATATTCTCCAGGGGGCATGCCACGCAATGTACGTACAGTCGGCCACCGGTATTAACGTCTGCACACTGCGAACTTGCGGAGAAGTTTGGAAAGCCGAGTAAGAGTATCGAGTGGCTGGTGGCAGAATGCGGTACCTGTACCAGAGGTCTGATCCTAATGTGAACGATGGAAAGCAAATTGCGGTGGTGGGGGAGTCTCGCGCTGGATATGAAGGAAAGAGACGGTGACCAAATGTGTATCGTGGGTCCTACGCGATACACAAGGTCAGGACTGAAACCGGCATCAACGGCTCTGGCACCCACAACTGCATCATAGTTAATCTAAAAGCGGAAGTAGAAGTATGATGGCATGATATGATAATAGCTATTCGATATTTTCCGACATCGATAGGCCTACGGTAGGATAATGTGTGGAATAATAGGGCGCGGGTCGGGGTATCATGGGTATTGTTATACCCTTCCCGGAGGTGCTCGGTCGAGGTTTAAGGAATTTGTCTCTTAGTTAGAGAGCCAATCCAAACCCCTGACTTCGCGGTTTAGCAGAGGAAAGCGGGGATTTGGATAAGTCGAAGGATGATGATGTGCGGAGGGGAGTGGTTCCTCGGAGTCGCTGGTGGTACGCTGTTTGTCATCTGGAAAATCGGGCGATGGAACAAGCACGCTATACTTGGAGATGTTTCTACAATCCGGTTCTGGGCCTCCAGGTGGAAAAAGTGAGAGGCTCTGCAGCCGCACAAGGTTCGTCGGTCGCTTAACAGCCGGGAACCCCTCGGCAGCATTGTAAGGTTCCGGTATCCAGGGGAGAGATTTCGGTAAGTTACTGGTGCTTGGAGAACACCAGTGTGGAAGTGTTTCGGTCGACTTCGGGGATTGAATGGCGTGTGCGACCAAGCTGCGTCCTGTGTGAAAGATTTGTCTGTGACTTCGTGATATACGGGAGGATGGAGGATGGCAAAATACAATATGAAGGAATGATGACCGCGTGGCACACCCGTGGCGGTGGAAGCAGAAGAGAGAAGTTGGACCCAACCGAGACGGAGAGAAAACGTGATCTAATTGCGGGTTGATGTGGGGTGTTAGCCCTGCTGCCACAATGGGGTGGTTTCCAGCAATTTTCCGACTAAGGCTTTGGCGGACCCTAGGTGCGGTTCGAGGGAGGGGGTTCGCCAGCTCTGACCCTCCTTGTTGATTTTTTGCTTTTTTCTGCACAACCAGAGTCTTTCCCTGCAGTGGGGCCTCAATAACTTGTAAACCTGCTGAGATCAAATAACATTCATGAAGAGGAGTTTTTTTCAGCACTGTCAATTTTTTGGGAGTGATAGTATTAATGAAGGCATGCGGGCAGAAATCTTGAGGGCAACCGAAGAATATATTCTGAATTAGTTTTTTTGTCTCTTTAACTCTCTTATTTTGGTTGTATAATATTGCTGTCTTGTTTAAGCAATTGTAGCATGCGGTACTTTTGTGGGTATTCAAAACCCCTTCAGTCCTTCGGAGGGGGGGTTCATAAATGTGAGCCCCAGGGCCTTCGTTGATTTTTATCACTAACCCCCCCTTTCATACCAACACTGGTCTCCAGACCTGGGCGTATCTATTTTCACTGCACAACAAGAAGGGACACAGCCGACCTACGTGAGGGGAGGGTGTGCACCTAGGTATCTAACGAATCAGTGGGTGGCATCCCGGTACTCGTGGAGGGTCGCTAACCAATCTCTTGCACGGGGCAGAGCCCAGGACTGCCGGGAGAATGCGCGTCCTCTTTTCTGGACGGGGGGTGGATGTCTCACAATGTTGCATAGCATTAAGCTACCGGAACTGCCAGTACGAGTAGTAATGTTGGCATCGTAGGGGGAATCAAAGGTCTTAGGGCCCGCTTACCAAACAGTTCCGTTACGGAAACCTGTATGGTAGGCTAGAACGGTACCGTCAGCTCAGGGTTGTGTTGCAACTGACGGTGCCAAAGGTGTTTACCTAATTTTCAACCGTCAGGAATTTTGGGTGCTTGACGGTCAAAATGAAAAGGTGCTCCAGAGGTGCGGTAGCAACACCGTCAGCCTCAAAAATTGATGCATTGTCACTATGCCTCCGACCGGTTATGCTCACAATAGCCATACCACCACTGCCAATCCTCTGCTTTCTTTGCCCTAGTAGTTCTAGGATAAATATATCAGAATTGAAACCATTGCCGACTATCATTAAGGTTTTTGTTTAGCATGGTACTATGAGAGCTTTAAGCTATGATGTCAAAACAACTGAAAAAGAGCTACAAGCACGGGCGGAAGGAGCCCTGAAGAGCCACTGCAGGCGGCATGTGGGGGATATAGGCTGGGTCCAATATTTTACTTGGTCGGCAGTGCTTGAAAGGGAGGGGGAGTTGGGAATTGTGAGTTCAAAAGCCCTCATACCGCATTATCTGGCGATACTGGAAATGGTGCTATCGCCGAAGGGGATAAAGTGGCGAGTTGCCATCATGGTTGCACTACACACATTCAGTGATAGTGTAGGAACTAAGAAAATTCTCATGACGACCCCAATGACTTAAGTACTGTACAACCAGGCGAGTGCAGAACCTATTTTTTCAATTCAACGATGGAAGAGTGAGTCTTGTAATTTAACTCCGCCAGCAGATATTGTTACTCGCTTTCCTTTTTTTTATATTCGCTAAGCCCCCCTCATGTCACACTTAGGCCACATGGCGACACTAGACCTTAGCATGATTTCCAGTATCGCCAGATAATGCGGTATTGTATTTTGTAAATTTTTTGATGCACTCTCTGACGGTAAGGCCCATGTTGCAGTATGGTAGACGGTACATTGGGTAAACGCGGGATGGGAATTTAGCCCCTAACGCTACCGACCGTTAAGACCCTCTTGACGGTTGCCACCGTCAACACATGCTAAACGGTCATCTGTAGGTAGACGGGGCCTGAAACGGTAGCACGGGGGCTGATATGCCGGTATTTGAGTAATATCATTTTTGGCTTGCAGTTGCGCCGACAGCGACTGGGCATGCAGCTGCCGTTCTTATGCACCAGTGCAAGCGCTGTGCATTTCGGAGCCCCGCTCTTACAGCTCTTAAGAAGGAAGTTTCTCCGAAAAGATATCCTCCACGAGCGGTTTCTGTATCTCACCTCATCCCTGAATCCGCTGTCGGAAAGCATAACTGAAAATTTCCCCAAGCTTCTAGGACCCGCCTCGAAATCGCAGCCCGACTTTTATCCATCTCTCACTGTTGAAAGATAGCGAGCTCTCATACCAACTAACACCCCCCTCTCAAAATTACAACATTAGTGAGAAAGGAAATGGCGGAACTGATGTCGCTTGCCGCTAGTGGCTTCGCCCTTATTCACCTGGGCATAAAGGTTTATCGGCTTTGCGATAAATACTGCGACGCTGTCGGAGAGAGCGAGAATGATTTCAAGAGACTGGCGGATGGGATTAGGAGTATTGACGGGCACCTGAAGGAAATACAAAT